CAGCAAAGCCAAGCGATATTTGAAGAACACAGATAAAAACAAAGTACATATTTAAGCAAAATTTAAGTAACCATATGAAAATAACCACCAAAGCACTGGAACAAGCTGCCAAGAGAGGTTGTTGTGGAGATTCCATCTCTGCAGATACTTAAAATTCCTCTGGATTCTTCAGTATGCAACCTACTGTAGGGAACCATTAGCAGAGGGGTTTGGACTAAATGATCTCCCGAGGTTCCTTCCAACCTCTATAATTCTGTGCTTCTGTGAAGAAAGGGAAAAAAAAATGCCCAAACCTAGCCAGGTAAGTGTGCAGGGGCTAGCATTTAATCTGTCTAGCTCCTATTTCCGTGACTAAAAGCAGGATGACTTCTTTTGAATCAGGCTTTGTGACTGTGATGTGAGCCCTTCAGGCATGCGGCACCTCTGTGTCTCCCTCAGTCAACATCAAGCAACAACAAATTATTTTCTCCCTCATTCTCATTTTTTGCCATGGAAGGCTTTCATCCAACTATTGATAGTCCAAAAGGGTAAATCTCACCTTGCAGAAAAGTAATATCATCTTTGCAAGTGCAGCTTTGTTTGTTTTTGAATCAGTTTCAAGGACAGAGTGAGTACATTGCATGTTGAAGTGCATCACAGCTTTCCATTTGATTCCAAATGATTTACAAAGATCAATATTAACAGACAGCAATTCACAGTATGATGTAATCTAGAACTGATAAAGAACTGCATTGGAATACTGTTGAATTGTCATGAATTTAATACAAGACAGCACAGACTGAGTTATAGCATTCGACCATTGCAAAATCAGTGCTCCAACCCTGGCTGCTTTTTGTTTTGAGATTATAACTCTCAGAAATAAATCTCTCCCTCTCAGCTTCCCCCAGCTTTAAAACATTTTAAATGTGCTCTCAGATGTATTCACAGTTGTACATAAAGTCATAGGTTTTATAAATGTCTCTTTTCCCTCTTTATATTGTCACTTTTCTTAGAATTGGTCAATAAGTTTTTATAAGAAGCTGTGTCTTTGAGTACAAACTGGTTGATGAACTCTGAATGGCAGGCTTAAATTTAAGGAGTGAGCGTTTCATTACTTATCACTACTGTTGGTATGTCCTTGTTAAGTACCTCAGGTACTCTCAGGTATGCAAAATGAGACACTGTTATACTAGGAAAGTACCAAAGCATAAAGCAAAGCTTCCCTGTGTGTTTCTCGTGCCTACACAGCATTCTAAAATTTTGATCTATCAAAGAAAACAAAGCTATAATTTTGCTCAAAGGTGAATACTTACTAAATACAGAAATATTAGGAAATAAATGCTCAGTCATCCCCCCCCATCCACTGAAAAGAAAACTCCTTAAACCCCTTTGGAGATATGATTAGAAATCACTGCAATTCTCAGCTGTATTATTAGGTAGAGACTTCTTTCTGGAAGACAACCTACCTTTCATTGTATCCTGTTACCCTGGGGATGCTGAAGCATAGGTCAGCAAAGGTGATGCCAGGACTCCAGAGACAGAGGCGAAAGAAAGACTTCCTCTGCCTGTATCATCACAACACAGGAGGCAGTAGGGTGACCTAACACAAAGGATAAAATTAGTAAGGGGACAGATGATCTTTTGCATAGGAGTTTGAAAAATAAAACAGATCTATGGCTCAAAGCTGTATTTCCACTGTCACCACTGAAAGCGTTGATTCAGATGAACAGCAAAGGTTGTAAGCACTCCCAGTGACTTTAATAGGGCTGCTCAAAGCACATCTATTCTCTCCTGAACAGCAGCTGTGCAGCTCCAGCCTCTCACATTGAAAAGTCTTTCTGAACTCTATAGCTGTTTTTCTCCTACTCACACCAGGCTTTGGTTAGCCACAGCTCGAGGCAGATGACCATCAAAATCTGTCACCAGTATCAGCTAGGGAAATAAAACACAATTCTGAGGCCAACATCATTTGGGAATTTATGATAACATTACCTCCTCCTGCTGCTGTTTTATCAGAATCCTTTTCAAGACTGTGATCTCCTTGCTCAATCTACCAAATCCGTGCCTCCCACACAGGTCTCCCAGAGCTCTTAAAACTGTTTTCATTCGTTTTTAGCAAGTAAATCTTAGTAAGCTTAACTGCTAATTTAACTTAAATCTGACAAGAACTAGCAGAGAAAAATAAGGTGATTCCTGGACATGCATATCCACCTTCCTATAAAGTCCTCCCTGCACAACTTCTTTTTCCTGGGTAGAGAAAACACCCAACAGGGATACATAGAGGACTTTCTTCAGGTGGTTGACATGAAACCCAAACTCTTACTCTTTCATTCATTCTTTAATTGAAGTCAGTGGAGCTATATGGGTGATGCTGCTTCCACAAGCGAGTGCATCGTCTGTAACACAAGTCTGAAAGCAGAAAAGAGGAGCCACTGCTATTGAAACTGAAAAGGCTGAATGCCTGACTGTGACAAATATATACATATGTTCATCTTGGGTACACACTGGATTACAGAACCTCATTACAGCCCTGGAAAACACTGCAGAGTTAGGGGAGATCCTTCAGCATCCCAGCAGGTGGAGGCTGGTAGAACGAGACAGAGCAAGGAATGGTTGCAGCACCATTATGGTTCAGTGGGGTGAGAGGAGCCAGGAGTGCCACAATGCAGTTTGGTATTGAACAAGCCTCTGCGGAAAACATTTTATCCCTAAATTTGACAATCTTTGAAAATGATTTGGTTTCTTTTATCTGTTGTAGTCCAAACCTTTATATCCATGGAAAAACATTTTGTTAAACAAAACCAGAATTTTATATTGCTACCAGGCAGGCTCCTGGCAGCAAAGTTTTTTTTTTTTTTTTTTGTCAATATGATGTTACTGTCTACATTCCCTGTTTAATAAAGATCTTATTTTCTGATAATTCACCTCCCAAACTGCAATATAAGCTTTGGAAATGATGCTATCTTTCATTTTCCCCATGAAAATAATGTATAAACACAAACTTATGTTTCCACTGTATGCTTTTAAGACAGTTTCCTGTTTTTGCAGCTGTCTTGCTCCAATCCTCTGCTTCCCCTCACCCACAGATCTATGATTTGGAGCCTTCTCACTCTCTTTTTGAAATACCCTGCTCATCTGCGACTGCCAACTCTCCTTTATCAACTGCAGCCTTTGTATCTTCAAAGAAACCTCGCTGGTCACTTAAGCGTGGCCTCCCCACCTGAGCCCATGAAAAACGCCTTTGAGCAAACTTCCAATTTCTTAACGCACGCTTTCAGGTTCTTCTGAGGTCCTGCAGCACGCTCCTGCCAATGCCCAGGCAGAGAGGAAGATGGAGTGCCAGAAGCTGCAAGGGGCTCCTTTCATCCTCACCGCCGCCTGAGAGCTCAACACTGACGTTCCTACAGAGGAAATGCTGATATGGGTAATGGAAGGCAAGACTAAAGGGCTGGGAGAGGACCTCAAATCTCTTCTGGATTAACCCCCATGGCCCTCAGAACCCGCCCTGCTCTGCTTCCCCTTGGCCCCTGGATCTATCACCATAAGAAACAATAGGTGAGTGGGACTATATGACCATTACCATCATTTTATCAACAATCTACAATCTTCATTTCCTTTCTCTTTCCAAATTTCAGGTTCGAGCTCACCGCTCTCCTCTCATTTTATGCTTTCCTGCTGCCAACTCTCAAGGACTTTGGATGGCCTTTCTGTGCTGGGGCTTCTCAGACCCCTCCCTCTACCTCAGTCTTTCATGTTCAACCCCAGCACTCAGCTGCTGCCTGGCCGCTCTTCTTGGAGGCTCTGTCAGCAGCTGAGGGTGGCTGCAGTACAGCATTGCGTTGGTTCAGCCTCATGTTCCTTAACTTCACCGTGCTTCGGATTTCCGTGCTCTTTTCCCACAATTCAGGCAGACAAACATCCAGCTCCTCTGGCCTTCCTTCTGTCCTGCCAGCATCGTAACCAACCTGTTGCCATTCACGCAGGGGAAGCAGGCATTCAGGCCTCTCCGGTGTATCCTGCCACAGCTCCTGCAACGCTTCCCTCAGCACCCAAGCTGCTGCCACGCCCGTCTCCTTCCCCTGCACACCACACGGGACACGTACCAGGGCAGACGAGGGGTTTTGCCGCTTTGCCCGAAGGTGAGCGGCGGGGATTCACCCCAGCGCCGCCGGAGTCGTCCCGGAGACGCCACTCGGGCGGGCTCTGAGACGGGAGGCACGGGGCACCGCTCCCGCGGGCGGGCAGCTCCGGACTCTCGCCGTGGGGGGGG